CTGCCACACCTGCACACTGCCACACCTGGTTTCAGTGGCTGGCACAATACGCCTGAGGTTCCAGGGCTGACACAGCGTGTGGTACCAGGAATCAGACACGGGTCCTTGTGCTTTCCAGGCAGGCGCTTAGACTGCTACGCTATCTCCCCAGCCCCTATATATTTATTTTGGAACTGGGAATTGAACTCAGGACCTTGTGCTTGCCTTGCTAGGCAGGTAGTTGTGCTGCTAAGCTATATTCCTGGCCCCTGTTTTTGTTTTGGTTTTTTTGAGACAGGCTATTGCTGTGTATGTATTCCATATTGACCTGAAACTAAGGTTGTAGCACAGGCTGGGCTGGAATTTGAGGTGATCTTCCTGCCTCAGACTCAAGTGCTGGGATTACCAGTCATACAGACAGGCCATGTGCTGACCCTGGAACATTTACTCACCTTGGCTTGGGACTTCTAGGCGTGTAGGTGGGTCACTGGGCAGGGGATGGGTGGTGGGAGCTGGAGTGGTGGTGGTGGTGGTGGTCAGGATGGAGCTGGAGCTAGGGGTGCCAGGGCCCAGGTTGGCATGCTCTGAAGCCTTAGATGCAGCCTCACTGTGCTTTGTGGAGGTGGGCTCAGGGGACTTGCTCTCTGCCTTGGGAGGCAGCTGCTCCAGCCATGAAGCATCTTTGAGGGTGTTGTCTGCAAAGAGAGGACATGGTGGGGAGGGACAGAAGGTTTAGGTCACCATCCTGCATTTCCCCCAGCCAGGAATATTTTCTCTGGCAGGGGTTGGTGAGATGGCTCAGTGGTCTAAAGCACCTACTTAGAACAAGCTTAGCAATGCAAAGGGACCGTGGTTCAAATCCCCCAGCACCACATGCCAGCTAGCCCCACCCCCTGGTGGGCTGAGCTGGCCACACACACAAACACACACAAATAATTAATTAAAAAAATATTTTCTCTGGCACTACTAGGATTGAACTCAGCTTCCTCCACCACTAAGCTATATTCCCCAGCCCATATAAAGTTTTGTTGTTATTACTGTCATGTATTTGCAGTCCTGGGGATTGACCCCATGGCCTTTGCACTCAGCTACAATCCCACCCCTTTTCATTTTTTAATTTTGAGGCAAAGTCTCTCTAAATCACTAAGTTGACCAGGTTCTCCTCGAATTTATCATCGCCCTGCCTCAGCCTTCCAGACTGCTGAGGTTATAGGTATATGCTGCCACATCCGGCTTTAATTTTTATTTTGAGACAGAATCTCACTAAATTGCTTGGGCTGGCTTCGAATTTAGGGTTCTCCTGCCTCTGCCTCCCAAGGTGCTGGGATTACAGGTATGTACCACCTCACCCAGCCTCGCCTGTGAGTTATCACAGCACATCCCTCAGCCTCAGCAGGCCTTCACTTCCGCCTCTGACTTGAATATCTTGAGGCCACCCTGTCAGCTCTTGTATGACAAGAGGAAGATCCACATTGCACAAGTCCTGGCAAACCTGTGGTGCTGAATTCAAGGTCCCTTTCTTTCCTAGGCGTCGAGCACTTCCTGTTCTAGACCTAATTCCAGGGAGCAGAGACCACAGCCTCTGGTCACAGACCACCTCCCGAAAGAAAGGAGCAGGGGCAGCCGGCTCACCAGAACCTCTGGACCCGAGAGAACAGCCCTTCTCTCTGTCTTCTTGTTCATCTGTCTCCCAGCTGTCCAGCTGTGCTGGCTGGGGCTGTGCTGGGGACAGGGACCATCTCTGAGTTATCCCCACCTAGCCCATTTCCCTGTGCTGATACATGGGGCCTTGGTACCGGAAGCAGGAAGACGTGATACCACACAGCTGGAGGACACAGGCCACTTGGCTTGGGACAGCTCTGTAGCCCGAGGTCTTGGTTCCATTCCCACTCTGCCACCACCTCGCTGTGAAGCCCAACACCAGCTACAACCACCATGTCCCTGATCTGTTCTCGCGCCTGCCTGAAGCCAGGGGAAAGGCCATAGGACACAAGGAAGTGCTCAGAAAACCCTGATGTCATCGGGGACAAAGCAATGGTGCTGCTGTTACCAGCATGGCCCTTGGGGGCTGCCTGCTCTGGGACAGAGAGCCCTTGGCTTGAGGACAATGACCTGACTTTTATTTCTTCTCTCTTTGCCCTGCGGAGCTGCCCCCAAATCCCTACCCTCACAGCATGAGACCAATCTCTGTGGTTAGGGCAGCTGTGGGGTCTGGTGGCCTTGGCCACTTGCCAAGGCAGGGCCTTGTTCCCACATGCTGTGCTGGCAGGCCTGGATGCCCCCAGCTGTTTCCTGGCAGTGGCCCAGCTAGGAGTCAGAAGCCCTGTGTGATGGCCAGACTTGGCTGGCAGGGCCCAAGGACAGCATTAGCAGCTGTGGGAAGTGGCCCCTCAGCCCAGGGAGGCTGAAGAACAAGGGATTCCTTAAGGAACCAGGACCCCATCATCCCAGCTTGCCCCTTGAGCCTGTCCCCACAGAGGCCCCGCTGCACCAGAAAGGGGGAGTGGGTTGGGGATGCTCTTCAGGGACATATGCGGATAACAGGTGTCTGGGGAGGCCTGGGAGTTGGTGGGGGGAGCAGGAACCACACCAGTGGGGATAGCTCTGAAATTTGGGGACTTGCTGGGTGTGCACTCAGGAGGCTGAGGCAGGAGGATCACTGGCAGTTTCAGGCCAACCTGGGCCACATAGGGAGCTCAAGGCCAGTCTGGACTACATAGCGAGACCCTGTCTCAAAAACCATAAAAAAAGGGGCAGGGGAGATGGTTCAGTGGAATAAGCGCTTCCCTGGCAAGTGCAAAGGCCTGAGTTCAATCCCTGGTTCTGGGAAAAAACAAACAAACAAACAAAAAACATAAAAAAAGAAAGAAAAAAGAAAAGAAAACTCCACTAACAATGAAGACAGCTTTTTGCTTTTTTTTTTTTTTTTTTTTTTGCGGAACCGGGGATTGAACTCAGATCCTTGCATTTGCCAGTCAAGTGCTTATCCTACTGAGCCATCTCCCCAGCCCCGACAGCTCCGAATAATGGAAAGACTCTGGTGTTGGCTCTATGATTCTATCCCCAATAGCCCCTGAAGTGAGGTGTCATGCCCAGTGTGTGGCTGAGGGAAAGGCACGTAACCAGTGTGAGGTGCTGTGTGGGCATGCCCAACTGTAGAGATGGGACCCTGGGGGTGACTGCCCCACACCCTGCGACCCCAGACCCTGAACCTACCTGCCACAGCCACAGGTGCCTCCCGCCGGCCCGCCTTGTAGTACGTGAAACCCCGGATCAGCGCCCGCTGCTGTGCCAGGGAGCGGGGCCTGGGTGTGGGCAGGGGGAGCCGGCCCTTGGCGCCCTCCTTCCTCGGCTTCTCCACTGCCAACAGCTTCTCCTTGGGCAGCCTGGGGAGGCCTCCATCCACAAGGCTGCTCTGCACACTGCCATATTTGTTGGCATCCTTGGCTTTCACTCCAGCTATGTCCTGGGTGAGGGGGGAGGTTCTCAGATTTGGCGTTCAGGAGAAAGAGCACTGTGGGGGCTGTGGAAGGTGGGTGTGGTACCCAGGGATGCGTGAAGTCACAGCCTTCCTTACCTCCACAGTGGCTACCTTCAGGACTGGGGAACCTCAGTTTCCCTACACAGCTCTCAAGCTCTATAGCAGGCTTGAGCAAACTCAACCTGGTAGCTTAGATGCCCCTGGGAATAGATAAGCCTAGTGGCTCCCAAGGGAGGTGGCCTCCCCTGCCTGTCATCTGCCCAGCCTGGCCTCTCTCATGGTCTTGGTGGGTGATTCAGTGAGGGACTCGGTCTCTGTGCAGGGAGAGCAACTCATCCCATGGCGTTGGAACTTTTCAGTTTCATCCCTGAAAGTTTTGCTTCCTGGGAAAGCACTCCCAGCCAGTTACCCTACTCCTAGAACACTCTGGCTCTGAGTTTATTTTATTTTTTGAGATAGGTTCTTACTCTGTAGTTCAGGCTGGCCTGAATTCCCTATGGAGCCCAGGTTGGTCTGGAATTCGTGGTGATCCTCCTGCCTCATCTTCCTGAGTGCTATGATTATAGGTGTGTGTCACCACACCCAGCTGTTTCTAGCATTTTGTGAATTGTGTTATTTTCACTTCCTATTCTTTCTTTTTTTTTTTTTCTTCTTTTTTTTGCGGAACCGGGGATTGAACTCAGATCCTTGCGTTTGCCAGTCAAGCGCTTATCCTACTGAGCCATGTCCCCGGCCCCACTTCCTATTCTTTCTTTTCTTTTTCTTTTTTTGTGGAACCAGGGATTGAACTCAGGACCCTGAGCTTGCCAAGCAAGCGTTTATTCTACTGCGCTATCTCCCCGGCCCTCTCACTTCCCAGTTCAAGGGCTTGGATTTTGGCTTGGCACAAAAACAAAAGACCAAAGGCCCAGCAGATAGGGCTGTACAGAACCTAGATGCTTTCTGATGCTGCCCAACAGGACTCATTTGTGCCTGCACAGTTGGCACTGGAATGAGCAGGAAGTCGGCTTGGGCCAAGGCACAGGCTTCCTCTGCACTTTCCCAACATCCAGGCAGCCCACATGGAAATGCTGCCACAGGAGGCAGCCATGGGGAGGGAGAGCTGGCTCTGCAGCCCAGCCCAGCCCTCAGCCCCTGCTCTGCACAACCCTGCTCTGCATGCCTCCCTCCTGCTCCGTGAGGAGGGCAGGGCCAACCCTCCTTGCAGGGCACTGTGGGAATAACGATAAGCCTGCCAGCAGGAATCCCAAAAATATCACCTCCCTCCTTCCACCTCTTACCCAAACACAAGGCCAGCAGGCCTTGTCCTGCCCATGGGGCAGGAACGGGCTTGAAACCCATCTCCACTTGCTTTGCCAAGCCACACCCTGGCACACGATCCTCTGAGGAAAGAGCCTTTGTACAATTTGTCCACCCAAAGGTGGCTCCTGTTTCCCACGGATCTCCCCAGCAGGGGTTACGCTTGCAATGTACCTGCCACAGGTGGGGCCTGCCCTGAGTCTGCACAGATGGCCACCTGTTTTAGCGCTCTCCCCCTGGGAGCTTTAAGCCTCGAGGTTGGGTGCCCAGGCATTTCCTGGCAGGGACAGATGGGCCATGTTAGTCTGCAGGGGTCCCCAGCAGGTGTGACCCAGCCAGGGAGCTGTGCCAGAGCAGGAGAGTCTCCCTGGTTCCCAAGGCCAGGTGGGCTGGTCATCTCACCGTTGTGTCCCTACCAGCCACAGACCTGGAGTAACAAGTCTGTCCCTGCTCTGTCCACCCTCAGCTCTGTCCTCCAGCCCCGAGCCCACTGCAGTGTTGGTCCCAAGGCCAAGTCCTGGGCACCCCGTGCCCCAGCCCTGCTACCTTCTGGCACCATAATGGGAGCAAGGCTCTCACCTGAGCCCTGTGGCCCGGGCCTGGGGCTGGGGCACCAGTGGCAGCAGCATCCCTCTGCAGCAACTGCAGGCCCAGGCCTGACAGCTCCTTCTGCAGCCTCAGCACCGTGGCCGAGCGGTTCTCGTAGCTCCGCAGCTGCTCGCTGAGGTGCCGCACACTCTCCTTCACCACCTCATTCTCCCGGCTCAGGTTGGCCTTGACGCTCTGCAGGGCGGAACTCCAGGTTGCTCTTTGCTCTGCTTCCTTTGGACCCCCCTGTCCCCACCACCCGACACCCCAGCTTGGCCATCATGGCTGTAGGGTATGGGCTTCGGTGGCCCCAATGAGTAGGGCAGGAGCAAAGTATGTGCAGTGAGATCCTGTAGTTGTCAGGTTTTTTTGAGATAGGTCTCACTATATAATCCAGGCTGGCCTTGAACTCACAGTGATCCTCCTGCCTCAGCCTTCCTGCTCATATCTTTTTTTTTTTTCAGTGGTGGTACCAGGGATTGAACTCAGGACCTTGTGCTTGCTAGGCAAGTTCTTATTCCACTGAGCTATCTCCCTGGCCTCTTGCTCAGATCTTGTCTCCAGATATTGCTAGGTGGAGGGGGTACAGCATCACCCCTGGTTAAGAACCATGGGTGGAAGAGAAGATAGGAGAGGAAGCTGGGATCTTAATTTGCTGCCTGACGCCAGACTGGGAGAGACTGTCCTTGCGCCTCCTGCCAGGTTAGCAAGGAGCTTTTTCTCCAGGGGGGTTAATGGCTCAGTAAGCTGAGGTTAACAGAAACAGCCCAGATAATGCAAAAGCAGACAATTAGACAAGCGTTTCCCTGTGCTGTGGAAATCATTTCCGGTTTGTCCCACGCTTGGCAGATGCACCCTCCAGATCGTCTGGCCCAGAGCTGCATGAAGCAAGATTACAAGAGGGAAGGTCAGAGGAGGCCAGCAGCAGAGCCAGGATTGGGCTGCCTGGCAGTGCCACTGCATGAGAAAAGAAATCCCACAACCGCCAGCCTCTTCCAAGCCAGCAGAATAATCAGAGCCATTATGACCCCCAGCTTTGGAATTAGGAAGAGGTTAATCTCCTGCCCCGGGGCACAGGATGCCCAAGTGCCCCTTTCTCTGTAAAGGAAGCTGGAAAAGGAAGCCCCAAGCCTGGGCCTGGCAGCTGCACATTCCAAACCCCCAGTAGTGCGGCACAGACCGGAAGCAGGAAACGGGTGGAGATGCAAGCCTTGAACCTGCAGTGGGGACTTGCAGCTCGCCCACTCTGTCCCCATGCTGGGGAGCAGCCCTGAACCTTTGCTCAGCCCTCTAGCACACTACCCTGAGCAGGACACCACACTCAGCTGCTCTGCCTCCCTGAAGGTGGTACTGGGACAGGGACAGGCAGACAGGCTGTCCCCAGCCCACTCCTGGTAAGTTTGGTGAGTCCTGCCATGTTGCACCAGTGCCAGGGGCACCACTGGCATGGTACCTTCTGTTTTATTGTTTGGCTTTATTTATTTATTTTTTTTTAAAGGACTTTTTTTGGTCTTATTTTCACTATTTTTTTTTTTTTTTTTTTTTTTTTTTTGGTACCGGGAATCGAACTCGGGGCCTCGCGCTTGCTAGGCAGGTGCTGCGCCACCGAGCCACCTCCCCGGCCCTGGCTTTATTTTTTGAGAGAGTCTTACTATGTAGCACAGGCTGGCCTTGAACTTGAAGTGATCCTCCTGCCTCAGCCTTGGGAGTGCTGGAATTACAGACATACATCACCATGCCAGGCTCAAAGTATATTCTGGGGGCTGGGGAGATGGCTCAGTAGAATAAGTGCTTCCCTGGCAAGCGCAAGGGCCTGAGTTCAATCCCTGGTTCCGCAAAAAAAAAAAAAAAGAAAAAGTATATTCTGTGAACAGCGAGCGCCCTGAACCATGTTGTATACCTTGATTTTGGCACACAGAGGATGACCACGCGTTCCAGCGCCCCTTCTGCATCTCTTTCATACAACCAGCACATGCTGTAGTTTCCCTCCCCAGCTGTCCAGGTTCTTGGAGCCCACTGGCTCTCTGCCCTCAAGGCTGGACACCTGTGGCCTTCAGCACCCTCCCCTCCCCTCTGCCAAAGTCCAGCTTCCAAAGGCTAGCCTGTCCAGCCAGCATTACTGCAGAACGTTCCAGCCCCTGGGACACTGTCTGGGGGGCCCCATTTTACCTCCTCCAGCGTACTCATCTGGGAGGCCACCTTGTGGACATAAGCGTGCACTTTCATCAGGTCCACGCTGTAGAGGGCGCCTTCCAGGAGGTCCACCATGGACTGCAGCTGTGGGGATAACGAACTTAGGAGAGGATGTGGTCAGGGCAGTGCAGGCTGCAAAAGGAGCCCAGAATCTAGCGCCCCAGACCAGAGAGGCTCATTGCCGTCTGCTGGGACCTTTCCTCCTGTTTTCTGTGCCCAGCCCTGGCTTCCACATGATTTTATTTGTTTACCTATTTGTTTTTGGTGCTGTGGACGGAACTCAGGGGCTCACATAAGCTAGGCTAGTGCTCTACCACTGAGATACACCCCCAAGTCCCAAAAGCCTCTTTTTTTTTTTTTTTTTTTGAGATGGGTCTCTATGTATTTTAGGCTGTAACTGAAAGTTTGATCCCTTGTTGGGCATGGCGGTGCACACCTGTAATCTCTTCACTCAGGAGGCTGAGACAGGAGGATCACAGAGTTTGAAGGATCCTGGACTACACAGTGAGCTAAAGGTCAGCCAAATAGAGAAACCCTTCCTCAAAAACAAAAATCAAAACAAGCCCAGCTCCCTGGCAAGTGCTGACTGCCACCCCACCCTGAAACTCCCTGGGGACACAGGTGGCTGATGCTCTAGTCCTCCCGGCCTCTTCCTCTCACTCCCTCAGGCTGCTCTGGGGAGCTCTGGTGTCATCTTCCACTGGCTCCTGGGCCTGCTTTGCTGAACTAAGTCTAGGCTTTGATCTTCATGTTATAACCTGGAAGGTGATGCCTGGAGGTGAAGCAAATACCCAGGGACCCCGGCTGCTAGGGAGTGAAACCAGGAGCAGAGTGGAGGTCAGTGTAAAACCCAACCTCTTTCCTGCCCTGCCTCACTGCACTGGTCTTGTGTTCCAGTGGGGAAACCAAGGCTGGGGGTGAGGCTGCACACTAGGTCTGCAGTGGCCCAGAGTGGGTGCCTAGCCTGTCCAGCCCAGGGCTCTGTCCTACAGCTGCTACCTCCCCTCTGTGTCACCTCATCAGGATGTGACACTCCCTCCAGATGGCCAGGATGCCAGGGAAGTGTCAGGGAAACCTTGGCACCAGAGGCCAGTTGGGAAATCGGCCCTGCCAGCTTCAGGAGAAGGCGGTGCTTGGGGCCTCCGAGCCTGCAGGCACGCTTCTGGCTAGCGGCTCCCAACAGCTCTACTGCCAGTGTCCCAGGGGCTCATGTGCTGCTGTAAATGAGGGAGCTTTCCTCCAAGGGAACTGGATTGGTTTCTAAAATGGGGGAGGGGCAAATAGCTCAGTGGATTATAGTGCCTGCAAGCAGGTGCAGGGGCTGGGGATTTGATCTCTGGGCCTTCCGTGCCATCTAGCTCTTGGGAGGCTATAAACAGGCAGATCACTAGGAGTCTGATCTAGTAGTGAGACTCTGAGCACCCTGTAGACCCTTCCCTAAAATACAAAAAACAAACCAAAAAAAAAACGACCAAAAACCAAAAAACCAGAGGGGATGGAAGGTGCTACAAAGGCAGCACTGTCCCAGAGTCTGCTATATTAATTTGCCCCAGTCTTAAGCGGCTCCATGGTACCCCTAGGACTCTGTGTAGCAGTTTGAGAATTGGGCACAGTTTCTTTTCCTGTGAAATGGGGCAGTGGGACTGCAGGAAGGAAGGGGATGTAAGGACAGAGTTGGGCTGAAGAGCGTATAAAGAGGGCTTCAGAGAGCCAGTGCAAAGGTGCTGCACCAGGGCCGACGGGAAGCTCCCCATTCGCCCTGCTGCCTTCAAGGCCACTGAACCTGGCTTTGAGCTGGGCATGGCGGCGCACTCCTGTAATCCTAGCACTCAGGAGGCTGAGGCAGGAGGACGAAGGCCAGCCCAGGACACATGGCAAGATCCTGTCTCAAGAAAAAAAATTGGGCTTGGGGGCCAGGGAGATGGCTCAGTGGAATAAGTGCTTCTCTGGCAAGCACAAGGGCCTGAGTTCAATCCCCGGTTCAAAAAAAAAACAAACAAAAAAACAAACCTGAGTAAAAAAAATTGGGCTGGCGAGAGAGCTCAGTGGTCCAAAGCGCCTGCTTAGGCAAGTTCAGGGTCCATGGTTCGATCCCCGGCACCACATGCCACACCAGCAACAAAACAAAACACAACAAATTTTATCCCATGAAGACATGAGAGTAGGTTTTCTTGCTGGAGACCAATTGCAAGGTCTAGTGTACGCTAAGTAAGCTCTCGACTCCGGAGCTACATTCCTAGGCCACCTTTCAAAATTTTTTTATTTTATTAGTACATTTTAGATAAACTTAATGATCACATCCATTATAGGGATTTTGTATCTATGGATGATATATCTCGCTTCTTTTTTCCCCATTCTCCTCCCCTTCCCTTCAACCCTTCTTCCCTTGTTTATTTACAATTTATAGCAGAGAACTCCGAGTTCCAGTTTCAGTACTGCCAGGTTCCTGCTGCGTGACCTTCGGCAGTCACAACCCCTCTCTGGGCCTCCAGTTCCTCCCAAGGTGTCACAGCATGGATTAACCTGGTCAGCATTCACGGAAAGAGCTCTGTGTGTCCTCCTGTGAAGGCGCCTTACAGTTCTGTTACTAGGATGGGACTTGAGTAGAAACTAGCTTTGTGCCTGTCCCCAAAGACTGGCTGTGGCAGTGCCTGGGGAGGCAGGGCCCAGGGGGACCCCAGGGAGAAGGCATGGTTCAGGGTCTCCAGGCTGTCAGGAGGTAGCCCATTGGGCCCAGGTTGTACACGTTGGTGTCCAGTTAGGTGCTACAAAAAGAAAACTAAGGTAAACCTCAAGCAAATGTCTTTTGCCAAAAGCTGGGCAACAGCTCTTCAGATGCCTCCCACTGTCCTGCATGGGCTGCATACAGGAGAGTCTCGGTTCGAGCCACGTGGTGTCTCAGAGCAGCCTTGGAAATGCTAAGAAATCCAGACCCTGAAAGCCCAGGGCTCCTCCCTGTCCACGACACACTCACTGTGTGCGCAGTGCCCACATGGGCCTCACTCACTGCCCCACAGGAACTGGAGCTTGGAAAACAAGGGCAAGAGAACTGATTTGCCTGGGCATGGTGGTAGATGTCTAATCCCAGCAATCAGGAGGCTGAGGCAGGGAAGTCATTGTGAATTGGAGGCCAGCCTGGGCTACCTAGTGAAAACCTGTTTCAGAAAAATGAAGACTAAAAACAAAACAACAAAAACTAGGTTTGCAGTCTTCTACCTTGGTTCGAGAAGGCTCGTGTCTTCTGCCAGCACTTATGAAACCACGTCAGCTTGCAAGTTAGGGCAATATCTCAAACCTTTCAGGGTTTGACACCAAACAAGCAAAATAGACACATGTCTGGGAGAAATTATAAAAGGAAGAAAAAAATACTTTCAAAAGACACCAGTTGGAGTTAGGTGTGGAGGCACATGCCCGTAATACGAGCACTGCGGGAGGCTGAGGCAGGAAGCCTGCCAAGTTGGAGGTCACCCTGGCAACTTAGGAATTTAGTGAGACTCTGTTTGAAAATAAATTTGAAAAAAAGGTTGTGGATGTAGCTCAGTCAAAATCCCATGCTGAAAAAAAACCAAGCTGGTCTTTTCCAAGAAGGAAGACAAATGAGCAAGAGGTTTGAGACACATATTTTCAACACAGCAAGGCCTGCTTCAACTCCTGCCTCCACCAGCATGTGTCCAGGCCAGCAAGGTCTGAACAGCACAGGAGCCTCTGGCTGGCCTTAAGCGCTGAGTGTGCTGGCCCTACCCGCCCAGGTAACAACACGGGGCCTGGGTGCGTGCTCAGCCTGGGCTCCGTCCCCACAAGCAGTACCGTCTTATAATCTGCTTATGTGGGTGGATGATTCAGAGTCACACAAAAGTGGAGCGCTGCGCCAGGCTTGGTGGCACCTGGAAGGCTGAGGCAGGAGGGTGGTGGTGACTTGGGGCTACTGGGCTACATAATGAGACCCTGAGCAACTTACTTAAATCTGAGGATGCAGCTCAGTGGTACAGCACTCCTGGGTTCCACAAGAGGGACAGGAGGCAGAGGAGAGGGAGAAAAGAACAGAACTGAAAGTACAGAGAGGTGCTGACAAATGAGCTGGTTTGGGTAAAACCCAGGAAAGATTTTACTGTAGGATGTGCCCCAGGAATCGGGTCTCCACCTGCTGGCTACAGCCTTGGGCCAGAAGTGGCTTTTCCTTCCTGCCTGAGCCTCAGTTTCCTCCCTCCTGCGCCTCAGCACTCAGTCCTTCTTAGAGGGCAGCCCGGGGTCCTCCCCCTTACCTTGAGCAGCTCGGGCGCCTGTTTCCTGAGCTTGTCCATCTTCCACTCGCGTTCGCAGGGGTTGAGGGAGGCGGGCGGCGCGGTGCAGGAGCAGCGGCAGTCGCTGCCTGCACTCACGGTCTCCACGGCGAACGCGTCCTCCGCCCTGGCGCGTCCGCTACGTACCCGGCTGCACGCGTCCTTGCTCAGCGGCCGCAGGATGCACTTGCAGCGGCAGTCGGAGCCCTCGGAGGTCATGCGCACCTGCTCCGGGTCTCCGAACACCTGAGGGTGGGTGGGCTGCGGTGAACAGGGGCTTCTGACCCAGCCTATGTGTGTCCCGTGGGGGGGGGGGACAGACAGAGAGACAGACAGAGACAGAGACAGAGACAGAGAGAGAGGCAGAGACAGAGACAGAGAGGCAGAGACAGAGACAGAGAAAGAGAGAGAAAGAGAGAGAGAGAGAGAGAGAGAGAGAGAGAGAGAAAGAGAGAGAGACAGAGAAAGAGAAAGAGAAAGAGAGAGGGACAGAGAGCTGCCCTTAGGTGTGGTCTTCTGATAATACTAACAAGAAGCCAGGCAGGGTGGGCCTCAACAGTAATCCTAGTACCTGGGAGGCTGAGGCAGGAGGATCCCAGCGAATTCAATTCAAGGCCAGCCTGGAATACACAATGAGTTCAAGTCTGGCTTGAACTACATAAGGTGACCCTGTCTCAAAAACAAAACAGGGCTGGGGATATAGGTGGTACAGGGCTTGGTGGCACAATGCCTGCCTGGCAAGCACAAGGTCCTGAGTTCAATTCCCATAAAAAAAAAAAAAAAAAACACAAACCTACACACACAAAATTAAAATCATTTTTTTCTTTTGAGGAACTAGAGAGTCAATTCAGGCCCTTGTGCTTGCTAAGCAAGTGCTTATTCTACTGAGCTATCTCTTTGGCCCCCACAAAATTAAAATCAAAGAAAAACCTATAAGCCATGAAATGATTTTTTAAACTTTACTTATGAAATGATCATTTTATCTTATTTTTGGTGGTACTGGGGATCAAACTCAGGACCTTGTGCTGCCAGGCAGGTGCTTATGCCACTGAGCTATCTCCCCAGACCAAAGTTGAGGATTTTTTTTTTGGCTGGTTCAAGCTGCCTCAGGGGCGGGTATGTTGTGGCATGTGGAGCTGGGGATTGGACCATGGTCCCACAAGCCTGACTAGGTTTGCCCAGGGAGGCACTTAAACAACTAAGCTAAAAGGCAAGTCCACTGAAATGATCATTTTATTTTATTTAATGGGCAGAATATATTTATTGAGGGAAAGAAAGATCCTGTCTGAGAGACAGACAGGAGGGGAGCCCGAGTAGGTTGTCCCTGTGAAATGTTCATTTTAAATGTTGTGTATATTTCCACAGTAATAAAACATACAGTATGAATGGAGACCTTTACCTGAGCATGTACTACATCCCATGTTAAATGTGCATTGTGTCCCTTAATAATACCTGTGGGGGGAGTAAGGGTACTGTTACCTCCAAAGTCCTTCCCATGGCTCCTCTGACAGCTCTACTGCCATGTCCAGGGGTAGCCACTGTCACTGTGGGCATCAGAGCTTTGGGTCAGTGAGATCAGTGTTAGGTGCCAGGCCCTGACATGCCTCCTGGCCACCCAAAAGCCAGGTCTTCGAGAGTCCTAAAGCTAAGGCTCTGGGTGTTTTTTCTTTTGGTTTTTGGAGACAGGGTCTGGCTATGTTGTCCAGGCTGGCCTTGAACCCACTATGGAACCTCTAGCTCCGGGCCATCCTCCTGCCATGCCTGACCTGAGCATTTTTCTGAAGACCCTGGGGAGTCCCTGGAGGACTGCTGTGGCCAGGGAGAACCAGGTAGGCCCAATGTCAAGGGGAGCTCCCTGGGGCTGCTGTGTGGCCAGATGACAGATGAGCATGGTCAGCATGTGGCTGGGGCAGGGGACAGCTGTGCTCCCTCAGAGGTGGAGCTGCAGCTGGGACACAGGCATGGGCCACCTGCAGCTGTGTGTTCTCTGTGTGGATTACTTAGTCTCCCCATGCCTCAGTTTCCCTCACATATCCACCTAACAGCAGCAGCAGCATCCACAGCAGGCTAGGGAAGGCCTCTGATGAGGCTTCCTACCCTGCAGGGACAGCCAAGGCCTGACTAGGAGCTGAACGGCAGTCTCTGGTCCCTGGTCCCAGCCTTGCTACCCAGAGCCCCTTCTGGGTGGAGTCTTGCTTCTTATGGGGCTGGACAAAGGTGCCTTGAGCCCCGGGAGCCTTAGCTCCCTCTTGGGTCACATGGGAGGGTGCCAGTTCCTCCTTCACCAGCTTGTCTTAAGTCCGAAGAGTCAATGTACCCTGCACACCGGGCAGGGATTGGGCCCAAGGTGACTGCCCTCTCAGCGGTACCCAAAGTACAAACGGTAGCTGAGAACCTTGCCTCATACTTATTCATTCTCTGCCTCTCTTGGCTTTCGATACAACACTACCTATCTTCTTGGTGCTTCCGAAATAGGGTCTCACTATGTAGCTCAGGCTGGTCTCACGCTCCCAGTGAGCCTCCTGCCTCAGCCTCTGGAGTGCTACGATACGTAACTCCACTTTAGAAAGGAGAAAGCAGGGGCTCCAAGAACAAGACAGCGACAGACAGCACAGGCTACTTCTGGAACTTGGGCGACGTGTTGTTCCTCCCATGACCAGCTGGTCACCAGGCAAGTGCTCCTCCCTCAGCAACTGAGCTGGGACAGACAGATGGGTCTGCAGAGAAGGAGGCTGGGGCAGGGGAGGACCTGCCTTCCCTGCTCTGGCACGAGGGTCAGAATCGCTGCCAGCCAGTAAAGTCCCTGCCTCGGCCCCCATCTCTCCCTGCCACCTCGCTCAGCACACACTGCTGCCAAAGCACCCAGAAGCATGGGTGGAGGTGGGTTGTGCTTGGGAAGGTCCTGAGGTATTTTCCAGGAAACTGTACATATAATGTGCTGGCAAGAAGGTGCACTGGGAATTGTCCTGGACAGAGACAGGAAACCTGTTGGAGGGGCCCAAGCTGGGAGACAGTCTAGCCACTGCAGAAGTGACTCCAAGCAGCCCCACCTCTCCTGGACACCTCCTCCTGGAGGACAGGGCCAAGATCTACTGAGCATCTCCCAAGCTTGTGCCACCTACCCTCCTGCCCAAAGGGATCACTGAACCTCTTTCATACCCCAGACAACTTTTTAGTCACCATGTTCTCCTGAGTCTTTTTTGTTTTTAAAACAAGATCTCCCTATATATTCCAGGCTGGCTTTGAATTCACCATATAGCCTAAACTGACCTCACATGTGAGGCAATCCTCCTGTCTCAGCCTCCTGAGGGCTGGAATTCCAGGTGTCTGTTACCACACCCAGCTCAGACTGACTCTTTGGAGTGTTCAAGTCAGTCCCCTTAAAGCCTACGGGTGTTGACAAGAGGGCTATGCATACACACAAAAAAATAAATAAATAAAATAAAAAAGGGGCCGGGAAGATGGCTCAGTAGAATAAGTGATTCCCTGGCAAGCGTACGAGTCTGAGTTCAATACCTCGTTCCACAAAAAAAACAAACAAAAAAAAGCAAACCAAAAAAAACAAAAACAAAAAAAAAACCAAAAACCAAAAAAACAACAACAACAAGAGGGCTGTGCAAGATTATGAATCTATGTGCTGGCCATGACCTGTTTCCTGGTGTCAGAACCACACAGTGTTCGGACAAGACCTTCCCTGGAAAGAGCAGGTGTGGCTTGGCCTCATAGTGACAGTACTGAAGGACTCAGCCACCACCACCACACTGTCCTCCCCACACCGGGGCCTGCTTCCAAATTACACCCACAGGCGGAAACTCTGGGAGTAGATGCAAAGCAACACCTAAGCCCCAGGGACTGCCTGCCTGGAACATCTGACCCAGCCTGAGACACCACAGTTTCCTGCCCCAGCTCCTCCTTGCCGTGGCTCCCACAGGCTTCTGTCTCTTTTCTTCCAAATGAAGACCCCTTTCCTGCCCTTGGATGCAAGCAGCCAGTGAGGGACCAGCAGTGTTCCCACAGTCACGGAAACTGAGGTAAAAACGGAATTCTCAGCCACATTCCAGCCATTCCCAGGGGTCTGGGCGTCTGTTCAGTCTAACCTGCAGCCCTTCAAAAACAGCAGGAGAAGACATGGGAGACTGAGGCAGGAAGATCTTGGTGAATTTGAGCCCAACTTGGGCTACACTGTGAGTTCAGGGCCTACCTAGGATGACATAGTGAAACCCTGGCTCAAAATTCATTAAAAAAAAAAAAGTCAGGCATGGTGGCCCATGTCTGTAATCCTAGCACTCAGGAAGCTGAGGCAGGAGGATTGTTGTGAGTTTGACAGGAGCCTGGGCTACAAAGTGAGTTCAAGGTCAGCCTCAACTGCAGAGTCAAACTCTGTCTCAAAAAAAAAAAAAAAAAAAAAAAAAGGAAAAAAAATAGAAAGAAACAAACACCAGCAAAGCTGTGAGGTCCCCTCCTACTCCCCTGCTGGACAACCATGAGATGGAAATTTCAAATTCTGTTTAAGAGAAACATTGGAGACACTGATCTAACATGGAACTAAAACATGTTGAGCAAGGAGCTGGCAGAGGAGGTCTCAAGAACTCTGGTTAGTCCCAGAGATGAGTGGCTCCCAATCCCCTGGAGGGGACACTGGGCCTCCCAGGAACAGGAGACTAGGAGGGGTCTACTTAACCCTAAAGGGGCTCTGGATCCAGTTCAAACTCCTGGGCGGCCCTCCAAGGACCCCCCACCCACCACCCAGGAAGTAGGACAGGCTCAGGGAGGAAGGAGGGGTGGCCACAAGGCAGAGGGAGCAGGTGATAATGAAAACAGCCCCACAGAGCTAGCAGGAGTCTGGCTGGGCTTGGGAATGCAGAGTAAATTCACCCATCACTTGATTTTAATTTTCCCAGCTGGCTGAAGGGGCAAGAGGTGGGAGGTGTTGGGAAGGGCTGCACTAGACTGCTCTAGGATGCAATGTGCTTCCCCACTCCACCAGCCCCAGCTTGCCCCGGACAACTAAGCACACACACCCCCAACCTAGCAAGTGTTTGGCTGACTCACTACATAAACAGGGTGTTGGGTTTTCTTTGTCTTTTGCTTTGTTTTGGATGGGAGCCCTCCCCCTCAATGCTGCAGCTGAAGGATGCCCCAGGCCAGATGTCCCTACCGGCTAGGGAGAGGAAAGGCAAGAGGCGACAAAGCCTATGTCAGGCTAGCTGGCTGGGATTTTCTGTTCTCATTTTCTCCTACCTGAGCCAGACCAGGGGACCCAGAGGGCCGTATATGGAAAGGAATTTGGGAGGATTTTGGGATTTTTCATGGGGATCTGCTGGAAGGTCACAGAGCAAGAGAACACCTTTGGCCCTTCACCTGCCAAGGGAAAAAACAGAAGTACTTCCCACCAGGAAAAGGGCACAAAGATATCAAGAAAAGCCACTGTTGCCCCGCCCTTCTTCCTGTTCTCCTCTGGCCTCCCCAACCCTTCTTTTATGGTACTAGGGATTGGCTCCAAAGCTTCACACTGAGCTACAGTCCCAGCCCTTCTAAAATTTATTTTGAGGGACCAGGGATATAGCTTAGCCGCACAGTGCCTGCCTGGCAAGCACTAGGTCTTCAGTTCAATTCCCAGTACCGGAAAAAAAAAAAAAAAAATTGAGACAAGGTCTGGTTAAGTGACTAAGTTGCCTAAAAGGCTTGGCTCAAATCCCAAATTCTTCTGCTTCAGCCATCTGAGTGCTGGATTACGGATGGGCATTTATCACCATGCTGGCCCACCTTCATGGGGAACTTTCTAGAACTCCTTCCAGGTAGCCCTGTTCTGACAGACTCCATGTACTTGCTCCCTCTACATTTTGGGTTGCACAGCCTGTTTAGGGAAATCCCTGTGATACAAGTCCATAATCATGGCTAACACTTACTGGGCACCTGCTCGGTGCCAGGTGTGGTGCTAGAGATTTTCCAGGCATCTCCTCATTGAACCTGCAGGTCATCAGTTGTAGGAAGGGGTACTATTTTTATTTTCCATGTTTACAGTGAAAAACTGGAGGCTCAGAAAGGCAAAGGCACCAGGTAGGCAGGAGGTGTGGGATTTTTACTGATCGATTGACTTTTGTTTTTTTGAGACAGGGTCTTGCTATGCAGCTCAGGCTGGCTTTGAGCTCACTTTGTACCCCAGGCTGGTCTCGAACTTGTAATAATCCTCCTGCCACAGCCTCCCAAATGCCGGGATTATAGGTGTGCACCACTATGCCCTGTAGGGATGTGGAATTTAAACTCCAGTTTATTTGACACTAGAGTAGATCCTAGAGACCCCTAGTCGTCATCGATCCTTGGCAAGCGCCAAGCTCAGACGGGTGCTATAGAGAAGAACTGGCGTCCCCCCATGTGGCACAGGGTCCGCGCAAATTTAGGAGTCCCAGATCAGACCCCCCCACGGAAACTCCGAGCCTGTCCCAGCTGTCCCTGCACAGCACTCCCGGAAATCCCGTCCCTTATCCAGGGCCCAAGCCCCCATCACTGGAGCGCTTCGCAGCACGCACTCTACTTCCCCGGAGTCCCAGTCCTCGCGGCTCCGGTGCCCAGCGCCAGGTTTGACCACGCCAGGTCATACCTCTCCTCGCCCTGGTCCGCGGCTCCACGCTCACCCGCACCCTAGCCACAGCGCCCCCTCGCGCCCGGCCGCGAATGTGCCTACCTCACTGTAGGCGCACACCGGACGGGTCGGCAGCAGCAGCGGCAGCAGGAGCGGCTGCAGCAGGAGCAGCGCCCGCAGCGTGGCCATGGCGTGGAGGGTCAGCGGGCACAGACGGCGGGCAGGGGCGCTGGCAGTTCTGTGAGCTCCAAGCACCGCTGGCTCTGCTGCCCCGCGCGCCCCCCGCTGGTCCGCTGAGGCGGAGCCAGGGCTCAGGGCACCGGCCCCGCCCCCTCTCCCCCTAGCTGCCCAGAGGATCTGCCCTGGGAGCCCGGGATAGGGTCCTGCGAACTTCTGGTCTGCAGGTGGGGCGCGGGCTCTCCAGGCAAACTGCGGAATCCCAGTGACAATTCTTAGGGGTGTCCCTTTTTGTCCAGAGAGAAAATAGCAACCTCCTTTTTTTTTTTTTTTTGAGACAGGACGTCTAATGTAGCTCAGGCTGGCCTCAAATTAGCAGCAATCTTCTTGCCTCAGCCTGCGGAGCTCTGAGATAACAGGTGTGTGCACCACGCCCCGCTAAAAGCAGCCTTTTTGGAGTAAAGTCCAGCAGGCGAGCCCTCGCACTCCCTAAACCATCCCTCCTGTCAGGACCTTGTCCACACAGCCTTCTTAAAGCTCAGCACCCCGGCTCTGCGTCTTCTACCGCACTCTCTCTTCCCGACCGCCTCCCAACCAAACCCCAGGCCCCTCTCTCCTCTCCAACCTCCTTGGGGCTCAGGATTTCTCGGCTCCCTAGAGGGCGGCTGCGGCAAGTTCCAAAAGGCCACCAACAGCGGGCCAGATCCACAGGATCCTGGCTCAGGCCTTCAATCCGGGGGTCTTAGACTTTACTACCCCCGATATCCAGGAAGGCACCTCTATACAATTCCTCAGGTTGCTACAGAGTCAGGCCTCCTTGTGTTTCCTTCCTTGGGGGTGGCTCAAAACTTTATTTTCGCGATACTTGAGGTTGAATCCAGGGCCTTCACACTGAGCTACATTCCCAGCCTTTATTTTGACACAAGGGCTCACTAAATCCCCCCATCCCCCAGGGATGGGGAGAGGAAAACCTGGAATTTAGATCCCTCCTGCCTCAGCTTCCTAGAGCACTGGGATTCTTGGTTTCTCCTGGTATTTCCTGGGGTGCGGGTGGAAGGCAGTCCCAATCTCCTTTTCTGGCTGTTCTTTCTCTGTGCAGTCCTGAGTCCTCTTCCCACTCCACATTGTCATTTATGGAACCAGGTCAGCTCCACGTATGTTTATCTGAATTTGCACACTGCGACTACACGAAAAGGAACATGTATTGGTGCCTCTGAGGCTGCTACCCCTCCCCCACCGTATATGTTTCCCCAACACTTTCCCACAAGACCTGCCCCCCTTAATTTTCTCTTTATTATTATATTATTTTTTTGGCAGAACCCGTGATTGAACTCAGACCCTTGCGCTTGCCAGGGAAGCGTTTATTCTACTGAGCGATTTCCCTGGCCCCTTCATTTTCTCTTAAAAGCTGTACCTCCACGGAGCACCCCTGCCAGCCACCATGGCACAAGCTTTGCTCCCCCCAACAGCTGTCCCAGGACATTTCCAGGTGTGGACCCTTGGCCAGCGTTGCTCCAGGACTTGTTAGAAATGCAAATTCGTAGACTCCATCAGCTGAGGGGTGGGGCAGCAATCTGTTCCCAAACTCTTCAGGGACTCAGGTTTGGGAAGCCCTGACCTAGCCAAGGTTGGTGACAGGTAACTCAGCTAACTTAGGAGGCAGAGTGTGGGTGTCTAACTAGAGATGAGGAGACATCAAAACCAGACCTAATGGAAGAAACAAGCAGATCGGCTCTGAAAGGAACTGGACTAAGGATTTTTCATTGAAAAAAT